AAGTATATAACGCATCTTCATAAGCAATGCTGTATGTTTTCTCGGCACATAATATCGGTTTTATTGTTATGTAAAACCGTCATATTAAAAAGTAACAGAAACGTGAAGAAATAATTTACACTATTTTAAGACATTTTGAAATGTAAAAGCGCGCGCACATTTGATTAAACTATCGTACAATTGTTGTGCGATCGTCGATTGTTTCGCAGCAAACTGTTTAGTTGTACAACTTAAAATCTAGTCGTGTGTGTGTGACTAAACTGTAGGATAGTTTAGTCAAAAGTGTGCGTTGTGAAGCAATTGTTTTCTACGTAAATGCATTATTATTGAATAATAAAATAATACATTCCGTAATATACTAGAGAATTGACGCACAAGTTCTATTTAGCTTTATCTTTGTTGAGACAGTTTACGACTATTACGATCTGCAGAAACTCCTTTAGTTTCTTCGTCACTTGCGTTACAAGGAAATACAACATAGAAATATCATTTCTACAACGTAAAATTACATTTACGAACCATTATACTTTATAGATTGTTAGTATAAAAGCAACGGAACATTTTGGTCAAATTCAAACGGCAGAATGCAATTTGCATGTATGTTTTTTATGTGTTATTAGACTAGTTTTGATGTATTTTTTTTCTGTTTAGAAATCACCGAAGTGTAAAATGCCGCTACAAATAAGAAGGAATTGTCCGCTGTTCCTTCGTGAGAACCTGCTCACCCTACTGACAGTTATCGGCGTGGTGTCCGGGACGTTATTAGGATGGGGTCTCCGCGCGTCAGGGCACGAGTGGTCGCGCCGTGACGTCATGTACTTCCAATATCCAGGGGAGCTGTTCCTCAGGATGTTGAAGAGTTTGATAGTTCCGCTGCTGGTGTCGTCGATTGTTTCTGCTATAGGTTCATTGGACCTCAGTCTGTCTGGCAAGTGAGTATATCTCTGATCTTTAAAACTAGACTTCCTTTCAATAAACCTGAACATTGGCGACAAAACCAAGAGAGAGATTTCGGGTCAAAACAAAATAATGTCAATCTTATCTACAGCCCTTGGCTTCTACGGAGTACATAAAAAAATAACTTCTAAAATAAATATTTAAAAAGTCCGCAAAAACATCTCGTCAAATTAATTCGATCAATTCTGAATTTAACAACTAAAAGACATGAAATAACGGTCTAGTCTGGCGGTAACTAACGGAATGGACATAGTTATGTAACTATTTTTAGAAACACGACCATATTCCAGGGTTGGTCTTCGAGCTATCATCTATTACATGACGACGACCGTGTGCGCGGTGATGCTGGGCATCGCACTCGTCACCACCATCAAGCCGGGCAAAGACCCCGAGGCGTACAGCCAGCCCAATGCCACCAAAGTCGTCACTAAAGACACTTTGACTTCAGACACGCTGCTGGACTTGATAAGGTAAGGTTTAAAAAATGGATATAAATGTACGTTACTTGGCAAATCTTTTGACTAAACTATCGCACAACTGTTTAGTCTTATTTTGTTTCCTATGAGCCTATATGAAAGTTACACTACTCGATTTTTAGTTGTGCAACTAAACAGTTGAATTGGCTGCGAAACAATCGACAATCGCTCAGTTGTGCCTTAGTTCAGTCAACGGTGCCGTCTCTAAATCAGATTTACGTAAAAAGCTATAGGTAGCATAACAGAATAAGGCAGTTCGTATCTGTCTCGACAGAATCCCTACTTAATAATCATTTTATGCAAGTGCATGTCTATTAGGTGACGTTTACTGTACACGCGTTTAAAGGTTCTTTACCTACAACACGTGTAAATGTCTTATTATGACACACCATGTAAGCAATAAACAACCATTTATTCAATTGGAGTAAGTAGAGATGGAATTTCATGTGCCAAGTTTTAACACGCTCTTTAGCTATTTAGTATTGAGTATCATTTTTTAACTGTCTTTAGTATATGCAAACAATCTAGATAGACTAAAATATAACTAACTGCTGAAAACTAGAATTTTTTATTAAAAAAAAGTTTAGCTTAGTTACTCACTGATAACACAACAATTTAATAGTGCAAGAGTTTTTAAAATCAGCCCAGTAGTTTTTGAGTTATTTCTATACATACAAAAATACTTATACTATAATTGGAGCGTCGGTGGCTCAGTGGTTTGAACACTTGACTTGTAATCTACAGGTCTTGGGTTCGAATCCCGCCATGTACCAATGTGATTTTCGATTTTTCATATGTACATAATTTACCCGACGTTCTTACGGTGAAGGAAAACATCTTGATGCAACCTGCACCTATCGGCGAAGAAATTCAAAGATATGTGTGAAGTCAAAACCAACCCGCACTTGGCCAGCGTGGTTGACTATGGCCTAGTCACCCCGTATTAGGGTAGGCTCCGAGCCCCTCGGTGGGGACATATAGTGAGCTGGTGATGATGATACAAAAATACAAATCTTTCGTCTATAATATTAGTATAGATTTAGATAGCTGAAATGTTAACATTAAAAAAATTGAATATGTTAATCTGAAGACCGTTATTGTGTCAAAATGTCAAAATTAGGTAATTTAATATGTACTTTATACAAGTGTATGATATCATTTAAGAGGAAAAATGTTAAGAAATCTATTCATTAATGTGTCATGTGTTTAGATGCAATCAACAAATGCATATGCACATGCAAACATCGCGGATGAAATATCAGCGGCCGAGTGCAATTGGCTCGCGGCCTTTCCTAATAGTCGGGATCACTTATCGCTTTAATTTTTTTAATAGGTGCTAACTCGTCGTTTAATTTTCGCCATCCGTTCGCATTTATAATTGCCGTTAGTTTTCATAATTCTGAACATGCTAAATAAATAACTTTTGAATGTTCGATATTCAGTTAAAAGTACAACTGTCGGTACACGGATTAGGGGCTTGTTATTTTTTTAAGGACACATTTCTGCAACAGTATTCTTTCGTATTAGAGATTGCGTAATACACTGACTGTCGTCCTTCTTTTGTACCTTTTTCAACTTAAGAACACAAAAGCGTGCTTGTTTAAATATAACCAGCTGTTATCTACTCTAACAGTCACAAAAGCTTATGATCGTCCACTGTTTTGAGCTATTTGGTAAACATCAAGAGAATGAACATTATAACTACCTTGATCTTTAGAAATCCATGTTACTTATTCTCAATGCATTGCAAATATTTGCTAAAGGATTCAATGAGCCAATCAATTCTGATATACGTCAACGTGCGAGAGGTCAAAAGTCAACAATCAGCTTCTTATTCTCTTCTGGAATGTTCTCTTCTTTGCTATCAATTATTCCTAGTAAAGCTTGTAAAATTTATTGAAAAACGTATACACAAGTCTTTTTTTGTCTAGGATAAAGGTTTAATGAATCTTCGTGTATGTTAGAAGTAGGGTTGCCAATTTCGATAAACATAAACCCGAATCGTAAAAGGAAATCAACCAACTACCAACTAGTCAAGCCTATTCTTTGGTAAACGAGAGACATAAAAACGAAGTCAGATAAAAAGTGACGTTCACTAAAGACTAATCTGATGAGATGTGGAACGTAAGCTCGATTATGTTCTATGGAAACTCAAAGAGATGGCAACCCTAGCTGCCAACGAGGCGATAAGGTTATGGGATAATTGGGCCATTTGTGTGAAGTCGGCCATTGGTTAACTTGCCGCTTCTACACGAACACGCACCAACTCTCGTGCATCTTGAATTTTGTGTCTTTTCCTACATTCAATTTCGACTAGAACCAAGATAATATTGTAAAAAAAATTCTCTTTTACGGCCGAATACTGAAAAGTCATTTATATTTGAAAGCCAAGCTTAAATTCCAAATTCCTTACTCTTGACGTCTACCAGACTATAAGCGGCATTCCGAAAGAAGGCATTTAAGATTCGTTTTAGTAATTGGCCGATAGAATAGTTAATTTAACACTCTCGCTTAGTATAGATATAAAGATTCTCTTACTAAATCTACGCTTAGGTGTACTTAAGGATTTATTTGCTTAAATATCAATAATAGCCTGTTTCTTAGCTACGTTTAACTATTCGTTAGTGTTTTTGGTTTGATGAATTCTTGAAATGAGTTTCCGAACTACGTAACTTGAGTTACTCATTTGAAATTTAGTTAACATATCACCAATGAATCACTAGGTAATGATAAAATAAATGTAAACTTTACCAACGCAGCATAAGTAGTAATGTTTACTATAGTTAATATTGTAATCCGCATGTTAGCGAAACCGTATAGCAAGCGATTGTTTATAGTAATTGCCTATTAGGTGTGAGTCCCCGAAGTGAAACTGTCCGGGCGTTAGTTCCCTCGTCACTCTTGATCAGCCAAATGGTTATTTATACAGCGCCCTACATACAGACGCGTTATTAGGGATGTCAACATTCTGACAGAAATAAACGCGTAAAACTGGAATGACCTCCAAAATAAAGGGAATATTGGTTACTATGATGTACTTTGGTATTTTCTATTCAGTTATAATCTTGCGATACGAAGTAATTTTGAAGAAAGAAACGTGTCTTGAACGCGCATCTTTGGAGGTGCATATTCGATTTTTAGTTGTTCAACTAAACAGTTGAATGTCGAAACAATTGACAATCGCACAACAGTTGTGGAATCGTTTCGTATAAGGTGTGCCTGCTCCAAGAATGCATAAATAGATATTTAATTCACCTTGAATTTCTTTCTAAATAAGGGCATACTTTTATTTGAATTTGTATACTTTTAAATTGTCCTAAAACTTTAATTCCAAAGCTTTTGTTCTGTATCTTTCGATTGATTTCAATATTTTCACTACGTGTATTTTGTATTTAAATATTATTTGAAAGTGACAACCCTACGCGTAGTATCAATCAGAACAATGTTGCTGATCGCTACGTAACAGATTGCCAGGTGACAGTACAAAAGGTCAATCGAATAAACTCCATCAACGTTGTGACTTCGCCAAATGAAAAGAACAACTTGGGCGAAAATCTTAACAAGTATTATTATAAGAATAATAATAATTTTTACTCATTCTTTCCTTAAAACATTTTTGTTAAGACTCCAGATTACCAATACAATTTTAACATCAGCACTAGCTAAAAAACCGAAAATATAACCTAAAATTAACGTCACTAGACGTTAATTTTAGGTTATATTTTCGGCTACTTTTATAGCTATTAACGGTTTTTTAACTGTTACAAAAGTACGTTAAATCACATGTGCTATGAATATAAAACCCGTGACAAACGCATTCACGGTCATGTATTTTTTCATAACTGTGCAGTTTTTGTTGTTTTAAAATTAGCTAATGGGTAACACCGGAAATAACCGACCTCTGTATGCGAATGTTATTTAATTCAGTTAAAAGATTCGTCCTTCAAACCCGATGTTTGTAGGGCCATTGAGAATAACTAACGATTTTCATGTTATTCAATTTACGTTATCCAATTTTATTGTCCGTATGTATCCGTTACCGAGAAAACGGCTATTACACTTTTAACTATAAATAACCGTTCTTTTATCTTGACAAGTTAATAGACAAGGATATGTTTTTATGAAGTGACTACGAAAGGAAGGATCCGTTCATCATTCATTTACTCACCTTATTACACACGCAGTCGGTGCACCAGGTTCTCTATATCTTTCTATCTTCTATCATCTCATTCGTCACTCCGTTTTTGACCAGTTTTTGACGCATTCTATCTGTTTTTACCTAAGTCTACCTTTACCAGTGTACCCTTCCTCACATACTTAAAGGATCCCTTGTCTATTTTAATGCAATTCTTATAGACGTACATCACCACTTAAGATTAATTTGTACAAATTAAAATATATTTTCTTTGATTTCAGAAATGTGTTCCCAGAGAACATCGCTCAAGCGACCATCGCATCCTACCGAACTAAACTATCTTACGACCCGAAAGACAGCAAAATGATCAAAGGTACTTTTCAACATAGATTGTATAATTCCCTATATTGCAATGATAATGTATGACTTACTTTACTGTCACTCAGAGTCACTAAGTGGTCATGAAGGGTGTCCTTTAATTTCGATTTAGGATACATTTTAAAGCGATTGTGATAGTATTTCAATGAAGTCTACAGAAAACCTTTCTATTGTTAATATTAAACATAATTTTAGTTCCAGTAGTTTATGAGTTTGTCTAAATCAAATAAACGATTTAATTATTATGTTGTCCGAACTCTCCGTAAAACATATCCATAATAATGACATTTTTTGTTGTTCAGGTCATATAGAGACATATAAGATAGAAGGTGATTACCAGAGCGGTACCAACGTGCTGGGGCTGGTGTGCTTCAGCATCGTGCTGGGCATCACCATGGGCAAGATGGGAGATAAGAGCAAACCCTTGCAAGAGTTCTTCCACACCCTCTCTGAAGCCATGATGATCATCACAGGATGGGTTATTTGGTATTTATGCTTTCTCACGTATATATTTATTGAAAAATAGCTATTGCCTGCGGCTTTGAGTTGAATTAAAACAAAAAGTATTAGGCTATGCGCTAGTGCAGACTTTGATCTACTTCTTTTTTCTTCTTTAGCTGTTCTGAGTTCTAAAATTCGTGGTTGATATCGCCAGATCCTGATAAAGAAATAGACCAAAGTCATACTTGACTAATTAGGTGAATAAGTTTTTATTTTAATTATTTCATCTACCTTTTACAATTTATTATGTACATTTTTCAGGCTTTCTCCGCTCGGTGTGTTCTTCTTAGTAACAGCGAAGATCATGGAAATAGATTCATTCGCGGATCTAGTGGGTCGTTTAGGGTTGTACTTTATGACGGTATTACTCGGTCTGTTTTTACACGGGTTTGGTACGCTCAGCGTTTTATTCATGCTGGCTACGAAGAAGTTACCATGTCGTTACATTGCGAAAATGGGTCAGGTCATGGCTACGGCGTTTGGAACTGCTTCTAGGTAAGACAATAATGATTAAGGAATTCTTAAATGTACTTTCTAGATTACAACATGCTCTTATGCTAACTTCATCGTAAGATCATATACTTAGTGGATATTGGTTTAAAATATTTGTTTTCTATTTTTCAGTTCGGCCACAATGCCAATAACAATAGGCTGCTGTGACGATATGGGCCTGGACCCGCGCATCACTCGCTTCGTTATCCCGATCGGCGCCACTATCAACATGGACGGCACAGCGCTCTACGAGGCAGTGGCGGCCATCTTTATTGCACAGCTCAGGAAGGTCGAGATGTCGTTCGGAAAGATTGTTGCAGTCAGGTAAATGAAATATCCTACATGACTTACTTTTGATAGTCAAAATTATCTCCCTGTCCTTTTCCTGCACTATGTGGCTTCAATACACTAGGTTGTTTTGTTGTCTAGATAAATCAGTTTTAGGCGTTACTGTCTTCACACATTCCGATCATATGCCTACACTACAATACATTCATATGCCTACTTACTTTTCTATAATTAATTTAAACATATTCTTTTCACATGATATTCTTTTTGAACGCATCAGGCCTAGCATTGTGCTTCTCAGCGTTTTTAATAATAAATTATTATTTTTTAGTGTAACAGCGACAGCAGCCAGTATAGGTGCGGCTGGTATCCCTCAGGCGGGACTGGTTACCATGGTGATGGTGCTGGACACCGTTAATCTGCCAGCAGAAGATGTCTCCATCATTCTTGCGGTTGACTGGCTTCTGTAAGTTTTAAATATTTTATGATTTCCACTATTGTTAATGCCACATTTTTGCTGAGTACTAAATTACTACTTTACATTCAAAAAATATAATAACATCGAAATAACTGTTACAGCGATCGATTCCGCACTACAATCAACGTCGTCTGCGATGCACTGGGAGCCATCATTGTGACCACATTATCGCAGGGTGATATCGAAAAATCGCGCACCGTTCATCAAAATGATCGGGAACTAGCTCCCGCGCACGAACTTACCGAACTAGAGAAGGGCGATCATTGAATAACTTAAAACGGCTATTCGCAATACTGTGTTCATATTACGTTTTAGCGGTAACGTTTAACAGGTTATATACGTTATTAGCATGATTGTGTTACCAGCCAGCAAGAGTTTTTATTTATCGCAGTACATAAATTACTGTAATTATTGAGAAAAAAAATAGAACGATGTTGTGTGTTTATCTAGCATTTAAAGTATTAGCAGTTTCAGATATATTACAAGTGAAATATTGTAAAATAAGTCATTTTTATGTGTATATTAGTACCGGTGTTGCTATCCTTAATACAAGGAGTGAGGATAGTATTTTATTTTACCAATTAGTCAGTTACCAATTTTAATTATTAAACACGGTAAGCTCCATGTAAAAACGTTCGTTAAATATCGACATTTGTAGTTGATTTAGTCTGTTGCATTGACAGTTTGATTTTTTTTTGTAAAAGTTATGCGAATATGAATTATAAGTACTTAAAAACTATTTCATGGTTTCTCAGAAGTTTTCTTATTTGTACTAAGCATTTATTGGAGATTTTTGACAGATCATGGAACGGGTTTTGAGACATTGGCAGCTTTGTGTAATAATTTATCTCGTAAGTCTTCAAGTTTTAAAAGTACTCTAATAGTAATTGAGAATATTGAGGTTTTTATTTAATTTGTAATGCAAAATATTTAGAAAAGGATGAAAAATTATTTTATACTTTAAAGCAACGTCAGATATATCTTTAAAAATTGGTTGGAACATACAAACTAGAAATCCTATCCTTCTATAATATTTTTGTATAAATGTATGTATAAGTGTTGTTGTATCTTGTTTAATAGAGAATGTGCCATATCGTAATTTAAATATTAAAATAGATAACATTATTAATCTCCAGTCATACATCTATTTGCATTCCAAAGGATTTTTTGTCGAACGCAGAGCTGTTCATTATTTTGTTGAATTTATTTATATGTATTTTGTGGGTAATATTACTACAAAATTCTTTCTTTTCATAGAAGAAATGTTTGATTTTCATTAAAAAGACAAACAAGTTTATTTTAGTGACGAAGGAAATGTTATTCTAATTATTAAATAAATACAAATCATAGCCAAATTAATAGTATTGTAGCTCGTAAGTCTATAAAGTCAAAATTTTATTTATTACATAAACGATCGCATATGTTTTATTTTAATAAAATTATTTGAAAATCTATTTATTATTTACTTTATTACAATATAAGAAACAGTTATATGGTACGAGTTAATGTTGACTATGAAGTGACATTTTATTTGCTATTATGTAAGTTAAATTAATAATTTAATAGGTTAGGTTGATGTTGAAAACGTAGAAATTATACTTATGTAGAAAACTTGTAGTTTCCATTGAAATTAAAAAAAAAATCTATACGGATTTAAGTAAATATACTCGAAAATATACGTTTATTTATTTCTTCTTCGTTTTCTATATGTTGATGGTTGCTTATAAAATGTTACTTTTACTATGGACGTTCTTGAACATTATTTTAATAAATAAATACAGTATCGAAGTCTTTTTATTTGGAATAGTTAATAAAACTAGTTGAATTTAGGAATTTCGACTTTATTCACTTACAATTGAATACATATTTGGTACAAAACTCACTTTTCACACATCCTGAGTTCCCTCACAGCCAAGATTACTAAATAAGGATAACAAATAAATATAAAATTTAAAAAGTTAGCTTGCGCAAACATTGCAACGAAAAAAACTAAGAAAAAAAATGAATTACATTTATTTACAGAGTTACGTTTTGGTCAATCAGTCTCTTAAAGTGTACAACTTAAATTCTAAACTTTGGAATTTAGGAATAAAAACTTAAACGAATGAGTATCTCTAATAACTTATAACTAACAACTTATAATTATCAAAATCTGATAACAAATGTAAACAAGAAATATTGCTACAAGTATAACAGTATCCTTGGCTCACGTTCTAATAACCGACATCATTTACATTATCTTTCTTCTATAAATAACATCTTATATATTCTTATTTATATATAATGCTTAGCGTATATATAAATAATCTAAAGACAGAACATAGGTCTGAAAATTCCTTTGGTTAGGGTAAATTCCCTCAATTTTAAAATTCGAATATTGGATTTTTTATAAAAAAAGGGGCAGCGGGAACACCGAAATGTTCATCGACGGCCATGGACATTCGCAATATCATCAAAGAATTTTTAATATGTAACTGGCATGAAAAATACTATCTATAGGTTATCTATGGTTTACACATTTTTAAAAGTAAATTTCTTTTATACATTGACATTATTAATAGCTTAATAAACACATTCTCTTATAATTACGTCTTTTTATTTTTTTTAATTACTTTTACAATCATTAGTTTTTATAGGACCAAAGAAATGTTCCTAATTTAATTTTAGACAAGTGTGAAGTTAAAAGATATATAAATATAAAGGTATGTCCCTAAAGGCTTTTTCTTAAAGCTTTATTTTTCTGTAACGACAAATTTTATCTAATGTAAACTAGTACTTACATCAGTTAATATTAATTTACAGAAAAAATCCTTTACGTTATAAAAATAGCTTTTAGCTATAACGTTAAAACGCTATTTTTTTACCATCCCTAGTAACTGTCATAGATTATACAACGCCGTTGTTTACGAGATTATTATTATGATTAAGTTGTTTTTGCGTTCCGTTTTTCGAATTGAATGATGAATCTCTTCTTCCATTTCTCTCACTGGTGAGGGAACTTCGTGCGCGGACTAAAGTCGCTGCGGAAATCTCCATTGAATCGCCGAAAGGGAAGCGTGATCCTCTACGCATACTTCCATTACGATGTCTTGCGTTCTGAAATGGAAAAAATAACATTGGGGTAATAAATACCATCTTTAGTTGATTCTCACGGACGATCACGTAAAATTATAAAAATATGCAGACGAATTGAAACGAAGTCGGTTAAAAACAATATAATAATAATATAATAACAGTGGTAGTGCCCGCTTTAATATCTTAGCACTACAGGGCCGGCTCGCCCGGTGTAATACCACGACCACACAGAAGACAGGCGTGAAATGGAAGCAATTCCGTGTTTCGTCTGGTGAGTGTGGTGCCGGAGGCCTAATTTTAGTCCCTTTCTCTTTACCACCCTTTTCTTATAAGAAGAGGATGGGTAGAGGAAGTGGACTTGACAGTGGAGGAGATGCATAGGAAGGGGAAATGCCCCCTTTATGTGCGTCTCCTCCGCCGTCGGATAAGGGTAGGCAACGCATCTGCAATTGCGGATGTCTATGGGCAGCGGTTGCTTCGCCATTTTGGCGGATTGAGGTGGCCGCTTGCTCGTTTGCCACCTTGTGTTATAAAAAAAAATATATAGCCCATGTTACATATATACACAATAGTTTATACGTGAATCAAATAAATACAAATCTTTCCTCTTTATAATGTTAGTATAGATATACTAGATTATTTAAATTAATATATTATTTCTTACTTTTGTAGGTGATTTAATTACATATAACAGTTTTTTTTTACTTATTTTATTACAAAAAACTTGTATCCTGTTAAATTAAACTTTTATTTATTACAAAGAAGGTTATCTTACCGGGCCAGTATGAAAGCGGTTTCTGTTGAACACGCCATAGACAATAGGGTTGGCGCAGGAATTAGTGCAAGAGAATAACCACATAGCTTTTTGGAAAGCAGGGTCTAGACTTCTCACGGATTCTTTATCTATCCAGTACCTGAAATAAGAAACTTCAACAATAGTCACAGATCTAACTTTAAAAATAAATTAAAAAAAACTGTTTTAATAGAACCTTAGTTTAATAACTATTAACTACTGGCTTTCGCCCGTCACTTCATCGGCGTGAAATTTAAAAAAAAAAACAAAAAAAAGTCTGTGTGTTCTTCCAGACTATTCTCTACGTCTATGCCAAACTTCATCGAGATCCGTTTAGCCGTTTAGGCTAACAATTCTAACAAACATTTATCCATGTAAACTTTTGCATATAATATTAGTCAGATTATTCTACATGTAACGTATTAAATTTACTTAATATGTAAGCACTTACCATAAGCAATAACAGTAGTAAGGAGACCAACATGTAAAAAATACTAAAACAATAGTGACCGTCATCTTCAAAGTCCTAGCTCGAGCACGGCCGAGTATTCCAACGCCGCTGCGACGCATTTTATCTAAAAATGCCCATAAATTACTTAACTACAAGGATCTTATTTATTATACAATATTAGTTTCAGTTCTTAACAAAGGCAATAAACTTAAAAGAACAGCAATAAACATAGAAGGTTTTAAAGATGTTAATATAAATTGTATAGATTTGGCGAGAAGTACAATTGCGGCTGTGCGCAGTGCAACTGTTTTATTTCAAACTAGCTGTTCCCGAGCGGCTTCATCCGCATGAAATTATGAAAATTTCATTTTACTATTTACATTTATCAAATTTACAATTGCAAATGTCAAAATACCAATTACCTTACTATGGCATTTTTTTCCTTGATGTTGGCAGCAACTTATGCTCTCTTACCCACATTAGGGTTTTTAATCTAAATATTTACCCCCTAAATTTAATGGCGTGAAAATATATAGCCTAAAGCGTGACGTAAGTGTCAAGTCAAGAGCTTTTCATTAAAAAAAAAAGAATTATTCAAAAACATGCTGTAATTGCTGACAACTTAGGCAACAAAGAAGTGTGTGTTTACGCTTTATTATAATAGTATAGAAGTATAGATTTAATTTGATTTTACCTTTCGAGATGTAAACTTCAATCGATTATCTCTCTAAGAGTGGGAAACCTTTGACTAAACTATCGATTGTCGGTTGTTTCGCAGTAAATAGTAGTAGTAGAGTACACCTCGGGTCTGTCTGCACCGTGCAAACATTTTTAACTATAAAACTGCACAATGTTAGGCAATGTTCGCTTACCATTGGCGGTGTTCGCTCTACGTATGATCTCAGCGAGAGCGGCGGAGGAGCAATAGAGGGTGGAGACCAGCGGGGCGACGTACATCAGCGTCATATTGACTAGGAAATAAGCGAACTCGTGTCGTTCCGTTGGCAGGGAGCCGTATGACACGCATTGAAAGTATCTGTAAAACATTTGAATGGTAAATTAGTATCAAACTGTTGAATCTATCTAAAAAGACTATTTAGTTCTTAGAACTTCAGTATAAGTTGAGCGATATTGATAATAAAATAATGAAATAAAGGACTCAATTTTTAGTTTGTGTTAACCTCTATTACATAATCATCGTCCTCCTTTTTCTACTTCCGTAGTGGCGTAACAGCTTTTTGTCCTCCATATAACTATCATTTTTTTTATAACACAAGGTGGCAAACGAGCAAGCGGCCACCTGAAACCGCCAAAATGGCGAAGCGACCGCTGCCCATAGACATCCGCAATTGCAGATGCGTTGCCAACCCTTATACGACGGAGGAGGAGACGCACATAAAAAGAATATTTCCCCGTCCTATGCATCTCCTCCACCGTCAAATCCACTTCCTCTTCCCAACCTCTCCTTAAAAGAAAAGGGTGGTAAAGAGAAAGGGACTTAAATTAGGCCTCCGGCACCACACTCATCAGACGAAACACGGAATTGCTTCTATTTCACGCCTATCTTCTGTGTGGTCGTGGTATTACACCGGGCGTGCCGGCCAATTCGTGCTAAGATTATAAAGCGGGCACTACCACTGTCAAATATCACTATCATGCTTCATCTCAGTCATCACTCCCTTCTTAATCATGTCACCTTTCATGCAATCCATATATCTTTCTATTACTTGATAAAAATACAAAATTAACCTTCATAACAAATTTATTAACCTTATTATTGTGGACGGGAGAACTAAAAAATTATTAGTTGTCGATTTGTATTTAAATCTATTAGTGCATTGATTCTTTATGTACGTAATATAAACCATATTTTCGGAGCATGTACTGTGTAGAAATCACTAAACTCTCCAAATGAAATAGGAAATGTCCTCGATCCTGAAATAACTTTGCAAATCACAATGCGGTGTGTAACACGTTCCCATATCAGAGAACATGTGTTACTTCCTACATATTGTGTTGAAGTTACTGGCAACTAGTAGCGACGTGAGACAAATGAAGAATAAAAGTTTAAAAAGATCGAACGAATATCAGAGAGTTTCGAATTCGAAATGTGTTATTTGTAAGAAATAAAGTTTTTTTGCTAGTTTCCACAAAGTATTTCTATTGCCCACATGCGCATACAACTGCAAATATATTAACATATTGGAGTTTGCAAACTAATCAATTGAAAATTTGAAATAGAAAATACTCCAAATGTGGTAGTGTCGATATACGGTTTTTTATATCGATTTTTTAGCAATACTCATTTTTGAATATAGTATAAGTAAGTAATTTATTTTTCACTGGTTATTTATCGTTATATTTGTAATCAAAAACTAAAAATAAAATCTTATTGAGTACAATTTTCATTTCATAGACTCAGCAACTCTCAATTCTAGACTCTTTTCTTACTAAAATTATTCTACGTACTATTAAACGTACAATTTTACTATCAAATTCTGAAACTAAATTGTTAACTGAAACGAAATAAATGTAATTATCTGCAACTCAGACGTTAAATTATATAAATTGAATCATTAATTGAATGGTCAGGGCGTTAGATCGTATCCTCCCAGTGTGCCCCTGTCCCCACAAATTACCGGAGTACCCGCCTTGTGGTGTGACCCCATTGCCGTGACACCTCAGCAATAAGTATTCAAAGGTTGTCGTCAACTTTAGCTACACAGTCGTTAATTGACAAGGATTGGAACATCAAATTACCAATCATTAATATTCAACATTTTAGTGACATTGACAGTTTATTCTTAGATTTTTAATAAAAGTTGCTATCTAAGATCTAAGATCAGTATGTTTTAAGAAAACCTTAGGATTTACCGTTTTGTAATTCTTCCTCCACTTCTTTTTCAAGCCTTTCTCTCTTAAAATAATCCGGAATCGCAATGTATTGAAATAACTCAAAGACTGCTATGTCGATTTCAAAAAATCTTTCACTATTTTAAAGCTACCTTATCAGAGAGTAACATATGCTGTTTTTTTTGTTTTAACGCAGACTGAGTCGCGAGCATCAGCTAGTGTAAATACATACCCTTTGACATCAGGATGTTCTTCTAGATGGAAGATGAAGCTCTGGGGCAGGCTGGCGAGGCCGGCGCACACCCATGCTGTGGCTAGAGCCTTCCGCACTCGCGCTTCCCATTTCACGTTTAGAGGCTTCAAAATTGCGTAGTATCTGAAATAATTTATATCACATGTAATCCTAAACCAGCTATTATTTCAGGCAGTTAAAAACGTTCACCGGGATTTATGTTTGGCCTTCAATGTAAATCTTATTATAGTCACTATTATTAAATATACGAAAGTTTAAGTGGATGGATATTTGTTAGAGTTTGTAGCCTAAACGGCTGAACGGATTTCAATAAAATTTGGTATAAATGTAAAGTATAGTGTGGAAGAACACATAGGCTATTCGTTTTTGTTTTTTTTTTAATTCCACGCGGAAAGGGACATAGGCGAAAGTTAGTATTTTACAAGGAATGAGAAAAAAATGTTTTTGGATAGATATTATAGTAGAGAGAAGTTTAGAGTTTGCTAGTTATAAAAAGAAGTTACCTATCAACAGCGATACATATAAGGACGAAGCTGGAGAGGTAAAGGCCGAAAGTCCTGGTGAACATCATGAGACGGCACATGAAGTCGCCCGCCAGCCACTGCACCGTGCCCGCCCACGCTATCTCTAGCGGCATCATCAGGAATGTCACCTGCAACACATCGACAATGTTTTCAGATACAAACAAGTATGCAGACAGAAAAAAGTAGACAAGGAGTTTAGAAAATGACATTAAAAGAAGTTTGAATGAACGTATTGGTTTTTTGTACGAATTAAAATAACTTAAAAAGTACTGGTGAATTTTTTCACCATTAAAAAGCTACGTTATCAGTGAGTATTAGATGAGCTAAAATTTTATTTAATAACGGACTAAGTCGCGTAGGTTGTAGGACAAACTGACACGTAACAGGATGCTGGAAAACGGAATGTAGTTACATACTTAATTTTCAATTTTTACTTTTAATGTTTAACTATTTATGTTGTTGTTAATAAGTTGTAAATATTGTGATATGTCAGCGAGTAAAGGTTTATCTAAGTCTCGAACAGCTAGTTTTTTTTTATTTCCTTTAACCACTCCCACTATGGTTTGTGCCAGGATATGGTTCACGACAATAGTCGAATGGCGGGATTCGAACCCTCGATTGATCGGTAGTTCGTACAGCAAATCATTAAGCTATTGGCCCTAATAATGATGATATATCTAAATAACAATTAATAATTAAACAACTTTGACTCGTCGTTCAAGGTATTTAAAAGTAATACCTACCATCAAGTCAGCCACAGCTAAATGCATGAGTAGCAAATCAAGTCGACTCGCGCGAGCTGCTCGCCTCCTCTTCAGTAATTGTGATAGGACAGTCAAGTTGCCGGTCGCTGATATTATCATTAATATTGTGTACACTGTTATTGACACCATATGTCCATGGTTGAAGCGCATTTCCAGAGGCAATTCATTGCTAGTGTTCAAATGCGTCCAGTTCTTCTGTGACGCGCCTCCCGGACCAGATACCTTCTCATCTATATCCATTATAGTATTCTTCTAGTACTTTCTATAGTATATGTCTACAGGTAAACATTTTGATCACGTAATGCGTAATCTCGATCATTTCGTGGCGAATTTTCGGTGTACGAGAATTCATTGGAACGTGTCTGGAACAAAGGATTTCTCGCATGACATATGAAGCAAATTGACTTTTATTTCGACAGGTAAAACGTAGAGAAGAAAAGAATGAATATCGGAATAATATTGAAAAGTCTTATGGTGAAAGTTATGCGTGAAAATGTGAAGATGAATAAATATTTTGCGTCTTATAAGATTCTTGCTTGTAATAAATTAATAAAACATATTGCTACCGTATATGACGACAATAAAGAATTTTATATCCTTATTTTGAAGAACCAAAAATCGTCGCAATGAAACTTTTAACAATTAATTACTGATACTCTTCCTTACGCCATAAAGGGACTGTCGGTAACAGAATTTTAATTACCTTTATAAACAATATCTAAAAATATTTTGCGAATCAATAACCGAAGTCAATATTAAAACTTGGTTCAATGTACAAAGTACTTTTAAACTTTGTGGTATGAAGTATACTGCAATACAAACATTTCAGAGGCTGGCAAAATCACACAAGTCGCTATGTAGAATACAAAATTAGATTTGCCAGTAAGAGTATTGTTAATAGACGTTGGTAAGTGAACTTAAATTCAATACCTTTAGATTTACACGTGTGAAGTAGATCAGTGAATTGGATATCGGCTCATCTCTGTACTTGCACAGTTATGATTAGCGTTTCCAAACTGCGAGTTACCAAGGTAGATCACGGCTCGTCGACTCATTTCATTATAGTATATCGCGTTTTATGACCGACTTCCCAAAAGAAGGAGGTACTCAATTTGTCTGTATGTTTTTTATGTGTGTTACGGCATAACTCCGCCGCTAGTGGACCGATTTTGATAATTCTTTTTTATACAGTGAGCTGTCAATTAAGTTGTTGATTGTTCAACGATTCAAGTCTATGTGACTTGAACTTTTGACCCGGCTCAAATCTGATTTACACGCGTCTAATTTTCATGTAAATGCTTGTACGCTCGCAACTTTGAGCCGTCATTAAGTTGGAATCGTGTTATACAAGCTGTCAACGTAAAGTCACTTCCAGAAAGGTGGAAAGTTTTTAAATCAATTCTGTTTAGATAATCGAGATTAATGGAAGTCACGGTAACTCACTTTGTTCTTGGCTTGTGACAAAAAGTTAACATTGTTTTGTTATTTGATTGCAGCAATTTTGAAATTAGAATATTGATTCTTCCATATTGTACTACCATGTCAAGCACATTTGACAAGATAAATTGTAAAATCAAATACACTCTCCTTTTTAAAATGTAATCTTTCTATCTCATTTGAAAGTTTAGATGGATGGACGGATGTTTGTAAGAGTTTGTAGCCTAAACTACTCAACTGATCTCGATGGAATTTGGCACAGATATAGACAGTAGTTTTTAAGAACACCTAAGCTACTTAGTTTTTTGTTTTTTTATTCCACTAGCACAGAGTCGCGGGCGAAAACTAGTTTAGAAATAAATACAAACATTTTTAATACAAAAATTTAATTACTTATAATAATTTATTGCATTTTACGATATATCGCCTCTACAAAATTTAATGATCTTGTTTCATAGTTATTTGTGTAATTAGAAAATGAAACCAATAAATATTATAGACAGATAAGTATACCTGAATTTTGATTGATTTTTACATATTTTCTGTCAGAACTGACTCCAGCAACGCCTCACTTACCTGCCAAGATATCTTTTTTTGATACTTATTAATTCGATCTTTTACGTCATCGATGTAAAAATAGAAACGACGTAAACAAAGTGAAAGGTTTTACGGTACAAGATTTAGTAATAAGTTGAAGTTCTCATCCAGACTGGAGTACTCTTAAGTAACCCTATCCTACGCAAGCGTCCGTGCTACTTGAAGTTAAAAAGCTTTCGAGAAAATTTTCAGATGATTTTATATTTAAAAATAAAAAAAAACAAAATTAATATGAGAAACTATAGTAAGTAGTAATAACAAGTTTAACTTTTCAAGTGCCTCCTTTAAACCTCAGCTACTTAAAACCACTCGTTAGTGTTATTGTTTCCATAACTGGATGAAATGCGTTTCCGAACTACGTAACTTGAGCTATACTCCGTTGAAATACAGGTAACTACACTAATGAATCGTTAGGTATGACAAAATAGGTAGTAACTTCAGAAACCCAGCATATGGTTTCAGATATTTACAAATAAACTGTCTATTCTTCCAACAATAGTAAAATCTTATCGCGATTTGATTAAAACATGATACACTAGCTTTAGCCCGTGACACCGTCCGCGTGGAATTAACAAAAATAAGTACCCTATGTGTTCTTTCAGACTATCGTCCACATTCATGCCTCTCATCGAGATCCCTTCAGTAGTTTATGCTACAAACTCCAATAAACATCCATCTAAACTTTCGCATTTATAATATTAGGGGGATTAATAAATTAAAACCATAGACAGTCTCTAACTTTGACAAAACCATAACCTAATTATGAAAGTTAGTAAATAGCTAACTTCAGAAGACGGCGTCGAAAATCTTCATTTATGTTCCCAAGACGTAACAATTACCATACGATTTAGAAGTTAAACTTTTCTTTGAATAACGAAGATGTAAGAATTTATAAGGCGAAATCTAAAACCGCTACTATTTGTCATATAACAATGGATAGTAATTTATACTTAACTTTGATAAGTTAAAAAGTCCTCAACATTTATTAAAATAATACTAATACAATCCATAACATAGGGATGATTAAAATAAAAGATGTTAAAACAAATAGACTAATATCCACTGTGCTCACGATATGTAAAGTAGCAAGAGGCTTTATTAAAGACTAGCTGATGCTCGCGACTTCGTTCGCTGGAAATAAAAAAAACAACTGTAGTCTATTCACTTATAGGGTGGCTTTAATGGTGAAAGAATTTTTGAAATCGACATAGTAGTTTGTGAGTTATGCCAATACAAAAATACAAATATTTCTTTCTTTATAATATTAGTACAGATATTATACCTTTCTCTCTGTCTTTAAACTCTTTGAATAAATTGGAATAACATGGTATGGTTGCTGTTATGGAAACCGGCGTTAACCGAGAAAGGAACTGTATGTAAATTATGTATTATTCTACGTGACGACTGACGTTAGATGACGTAGGCCGGGTAGGTACAGTAAGGGAATCTGGCGGTGATCGACTTTAAAGCTACAGCCGTGTGGACATTTTGTACGCATTGAGACTGATGGTACGGTTACAAGGAGAACGTTAGTTATGAGTGGGGAGGTACACCGGTAGAGGTAGACCTAGAAAGAGATGGATGGATTGCGTGAAAGGTGACATGATCAAAAAGGGGCTGAGAATTGAGACGACGTATGATAGAGTTATTTAGAGGACAAAAACCTGTTGCGCTCACCCTACGGGAGTAGGATAAGGAGGATGATGATGAGACTGATGGTACAATAACCAATAAACACATTTAGTATCTGTACGAAAAAATGACCACCAATGGCAGGCTGCTAATTGTTTTTTTTTTTTTTATATTTTACCGTCTTTTGCACAGCTTACTATTAAATTGATTATTTGGAAAAGGCGTAGTGTACCTTGTTGAAAGAAACAAAGCAATTTCTTTGAAAGTAAAACACCGAGGATTTCCGGGAGTGTACCATAAAATATGCATTTATATGCAAAGAAGTTTTAACTCATTGCTTGTAAGCCCCTCAACGTTTCATAAGATTTTGCATATTTTACCGTTTTACTTTACAATTTAATTTAAATTTATAGTTTATATCAGAAACTTAGCTACCACTCCAAGTTGTTAATTTATCACTAAAGGAAACTATTAGTATTTCGTATAATCAACACTGAAAAGATATTTAAGTAGTCATTAAGAGCTTTTCAAGTATGGCATTGGAAATATGTCTTTTTCTAAAATTACTAGCTTTCGCCCGCGAATCCGTTGCGTGGAAGTAAAAAAAAACAAAAGTGAATAGCCTATGTTCTTCCAGACCATCCATACCAAATTTCATCGAAATCCGTTTAGCCGTTGCCTGCAAAATCTAACAAACATCCATCCATCTACACTTTCGCATTTATAATGTTAGTGTCATATAATCAAGCGTTTCGAAGTTTAATTGCAAACAGATTTTAAACGAGGAAAATTGACTTTTAAAATGAATAATAGTCATTTGATACCGTTTCTTGAAAGGAAATTTCTTCTTGGAAATGTTTACTTCGATGTTTTTCGCTAGAAGTGCGGTGAAGACGTTTACCATTTGAAATTTAAATTTGATACCGTTTTTGCAATTCAATGTAATTCGATATAACCATTTAATAAGCGTATAATTTTCTTTTATTAAACGTAAATAATAAATTTAAAAATCTTTAAAAAGAATAACTTCCCCTGCCTTATCCTACTCCCGTAGGGTCGGCGCACCGGGTTTTCGTCCTCCAAATAACTCTATCATCCGTCATCTCAGTCATCACTCCCTTCTTCACCTTTCACGTAATCCATCCATCTCTTTCTAGGTCTATCTCTACCGGTGTACCTCCACACTCATAACTAACGTCCTTCTTGTTACATGCGATTCATCCCTCCTTATAACATGCCCATACCACGCTAACCTTTTATTCCTTATTTTCTCAACCATCTGTAAAAAGATTTTAAGCTTGTACATCATTGAATATTTTCCTTTGCTGTGATATTTTTTTTAATTTAAAAAAGCCTTAATTATTAGATATCCATAAATTACACTCAGTCGGGTACCTTAATAGATATTTTGTGAGAGTATTCAGCGCTAGAGGGTTTGCAAACTGTAAAATAATGTACTATAAACGATTTACAAAATAACTATATATTATAACAGAGATTAAAACAAAATTGATGGTTGAATTCAAATTAAATTTGAAAGGATTTTAAGAGACACAATTTGCAGTTCGTGTTTAATTTATAAAAGAAAAAAAGCCGATTCAATTTATTTAATTGCGATGAGATCGGATTTATCGAGGGAAAATACTAATTTAAATATGTATACCCAAAATCGTTATTATTATGACAGAGTTTAGCG